GTCGTCACCCCGCGCATTTGTCATGACACCAAGTCAGGGCGATTTGGCACGGGTGATGCGCGAGACAGTCCGCGAGACGAGACTGAGACCACTGGTGACGAGACTGAGACCACTGGTGACGAGACTGAGACCACTGGTGACGAGACTGAGACCACGCGAGACGAGACTGAGACCACGCGAGACGAGACTGAGACCACTGGTGTAGCCAGTGAGACCACTGGTGAGACCACTGGTGACGAGACTGAGACCACTGGTGTAGTAGCGCCCTGAGTGACCTCCCCGATCGGCGAAACAAGGCCAGGCGAAGTCGCGTCAGGTTTTAACACAGCAGTCGCGCGCCGCACATTGATCCTGTTGCCGTGCTTCGCAACGGCTGCTGTTCATGGCCAAAATTACAGCTGTTTAGGATGACCTGACGGTATCTTAACATGAACCTCAGATGTGATTGCCCTCATTGCCAGAACATGTTCTTTTGTCGGGAATTATAATCTCAGATGTGATTGCCCTCATTGCCAGAACATGCTCTTTTGTCGGGAATTATAACCTCATGTGATTGCCCTCATTGCCAGAACATGTTCTTTTGTCGGGAATTATAACCTCATGTGATTGCCCTCATTGCCAGAACATGTTCTTTTGTCGGGAATTATATCTCAGATGTGATTGCCCTCATTGCCAGAACATGTTCTTTTGTCGGGAATCATAATCGTCAGATGTGATTGCCCTCATTGCCAGAACATGTTCTTTTGTCGGGAATTATAATCGTCAGCAATAGCATCTTATTTCGGTGCAAATATACGCACAACCTTCCATTTATCATATACATACACTTAAATCGAAGTCGTTCTTCCACGAAGGGAAGTATTCGAATTACTCTTATTAAACACTTTAACGTAAAGCTTAAATATGAAGTGCAACAGTCAGTAAAAAGGGTTATGTAGCTCGCCGACTATCCAACCGAACATGGAACTAATTTTTCACAGAGCTTTCTATTTTTGCGCACATTTGAAAGTGTCACGCATTTCCACGACACGTAAAAATTGTGACCATTGCACCAGCCTGTTCGTTTTCTGTGCAGCTGAATGAACTTTTCAGGGATGCCGCCAGGACATAGGCTGAAATAATGGGCGGTCAAAATACTTGCGAAACCCGGAGAAAAATGCAGCCAGCTAGGACGCAGGAATGCCCCCAAGAGTGTGCTGGCCACGCCTATCGTAAGTCATGGGCGTGGCCTCCACTGAGTTTGGTAGTGTCCGGACACCGGCAATTCCTGAGCTGATTTCATCGTATCTATTCATTGACCAAAGAAAAAAAAATACCGAAACAGAGATAAACCCTGTAACACTTCCGGCGTGGTTGTGTCATGTTCTAAGCAATTTTCACGCATTGGCAAACTTGTAATATTAAACAGAGTCTTCACGGGAAGTCGAGATCGCGCCCATCCTCCTATGAGTAAGTACCTATATACGGAAGGCTGTGTAATCAAGGTCCGCGGAGCGACCCCCAACCGCGTGCATGAACAAACGAAACCCTGCAGTTGTTATAACGACATCGTTCGAAACAGATGTTTATCGCACACTAATTGGTTGCATTTCATACAAACATATCGCACTGCACAATTGTCGTTACCGAAGTCCGTATCGTTAATTGCTGTTCACTTTAGACAGCACTTATTAATATCAATGTAACAACAGTGCATAGAACAAAGCATGCCTCGTTTTTTCAAGGTGCTTGTCTGATTACTACGACCATCTCTTCGGGATTCTGGATGTTGTTCCGCAAAGCGCAATTAGTAGTGGGTTAGCTTTCCCATTATTCTAATATCTACTTAGCAGTTGAACACGGTTGGAGGACTGTGGAAGTTGTGCTTGTTGTGCCACAAACACTTGATATATACTCCGATCATGGACGTAACTGCGATATTTTTTTGCGGTGATAACAAACGCTCTGGTTTCAGCCGGCAAATTTAACCGGTTAGATTTCGGCTGCTGAAGTGAAGTGTAGTCACTATCCATATCTATACATGCAAACATGCATTAGACGTACATTTAGCAACACAACTGAAGCTAAGCTTTGATTAATATGCTTGATACAACCCATTTCAACATATGTTTCGTTTGTATTTTAAACAATTTGCTTTAGGTTTCACATTTAACATTTCAAAAAGGTCAGAAGCAAATTCACCGCATGCCTTCCTTCGTCAACATGAGTTATTGCGTGTAGATCAATCCCGATGCAGACCGCACATGCCATTCATAGTAAGCCAGCAGTGCGCGTGCTGGATTATCGATGGCGAGCCCATCAGCTCCCGGTTGCACCATAGGTCAGGCTTAAGATTCTGATCTTGAGCAGGTTCATTAGAAATCGTCAGGACTAACGTGCATGCGGGGGCCGCAGCTGACTCGGGCCGCGGCCGCCAGCAGGCACGTAGGTCAGCAAATCCGCCGAGAGGGCCGAAGACCGCATTTCAAGTGCGCGCGACTATTGCTGTCTTTGGGAATCGCATTCACTTGACCAACCTTCAGGACGATCTGGGCCTTATTTTCAAAGGCCAAGACAAACGTAGTCGCAAAAGCATTGGAAATGGAAAGTTCGACGCACGGCAGCAGACGATGCCGTGTAATTTGACTGGCTTGTGGTGGCTCTGATCCCCAACCATTGTGGTTTGCATCCCAAACCGACACAAGCCTGCAAAAAAACCTGACTAACTGTATTTACCTGCTTCCTATTCAAAGCCAAATGACAGACCGCAAAGCATGGAAGGAATCTGAACAGAGTGTTGGGCGGGGGGAGGGGGTTGCGGACCCACACAGCGGGCAGGGAGGCTCAGCAGAGTGTTGAAGGGATGGTGCATCGCGAGCTCACACAACGGACTGGGAGGCTCAGCAGAGTGTTGAGGGGATGGTGTGTCGCGGACTCACACAGCGGACTGGGAAGCTTAGCAGAGTGTTGGGGGGGGGGGGGGGGGGTCGCGGACTCACACAACGGACTGGGAAGCATAGCAGAGTGTTGAGGGGATGGTGTGTCGCGGACTCACACAGCGGACTGGAGGCCTTGCAGAGTGTTGAGGGGATGGTGTGTCGCGGACTCAAACAGCGGACTGGAGGCCTTGCAGAGTGCTGAGGGGATGGTGTGTCGCGGACTCACACAGCGGACTGGGAAGCTCAGCAGAGTGCTGAGGGGATGGCATATCGCGGGCTCAAACAGCGGACAAACAGTCACTGCTCGACGCCAGGCCGGTGGTCGCTGGGACCGCCTGCTTGCTCTGAGAGCTGGGACCGCCTGCTTGCTCTGAGAGGTAATCTCAATGCTCGGTGAGAAGCCACGTGTCCAGGTTTGAAAAGATGGAAGCAGGCAGGTGACATTGGATATGATGCTCTTCACGGTACTCGCAAGTGTAGGTGTTTGATGCGCAGTGCTGTGGTTATCAATGTCCTAAAAATTATTGTCACAGCTGGAGGTCAGTATTTCAATGTGGTGAGCATTGCATGTTGACAGAGTGATGATCGCTTCGTTGTCATAGACAAGCAACAGTAAAAAAACAGTATTCACGTCAGTTTATCAGCCAATCAAGTATGCATGACAAATATGAGCTCCTTCAAATCATAAAAAGTATCCGTGTTAGTTTATCCCAACCAGTATGACTGATTTATGACCCAATCCTGGCAAAACGCTGGTCGTGCCAGTTAGGTCACATTCAAAGACGCATGCTTTGGACTACAATCTTACAAAAAGTGGACCCTCTCTGCCTATGAGTTTAGCTGTCTGGCAGCAGTGGCAACCATGCCAAACCACGATAAAGGTATCCTAGGCGTTTTAGCTGAGGGCATATGACAAAACGTGCGTTGTGATCTTTGCCCTATGGTGAAAGTCGAAAAAGCTGTCGTCTTCTGGTGGTATGTGGCTCGAATCAGTGTTTCGCGAACTTTGTTGTTGGTTTTGAAGCCTGGTGGCCTGCAGCGTTATGGCGCTAAAATAGTGAAATGACCAAGGGTTGATATCATTGTTACGACGATCGATATACAAATTGGCTTGGTTCGTTGCTCCGGAATGGCTTGACACTGTGTTGAAACCAAATCATAGTCAATAAGAAGGCAAGAGGCGTCTTTTAAGTTTCACTTCCATTCAACAACATGGTGCGCACCAGTCTTAGCCCTCTGGTGTTTTTCTTGGAGAAAAATGAATTGTGACGCTTTCACTCAATTAGATAATTAAGATAAGACATTACGAGGGCCACAATGATACCTTCAGAACCTCCCGAAAGGAAAATGAAAGCGGAATGTGAGTGGAATAAGTGCTTAACGTTACCATCACGGCACAGGTTATCAGTATAACTTGTCACGAGTCCATATGTTACAGGGGTCCAAGTGCCCCATTCGAGTTCACTGAAGTTTTACATTAAAAATGACATCCCCAGTGTAAGAGAGCTCCCACTGCGTCGGCATGGATCATCTCGCCACTCGGACGGAGCCAACACGGGCGGCCGGCGACGGAGCCAACAGGGGCCGGCCGGAGGCGGAGCCGACACGGACCGGCCGAAAACGGAGCCGACACGGACCGGCCCGGAGGATCCGGAGACGGGGCCAACACGGGGCGGCCGGAGACGGAGCCAACACGGGGCAGCCGGAGACGGAGCCAACACGGGCCGTCCCAGAGACGGAGCCGACATGGGCCGGTCCGAAGGGTCCGGAGACTGGGCCAACACGGGACGGCCGGAGACGGAGCAAACACGGACCGTCCCAGAGACGGAGCCGACATGGGCCGGTCCGAAGGGTCCGGAGACGGGGCCAACACGGGGCGGCCGGAGACGGGGCAAACACGGGGCGGCGGGAGATGAAGCCATCACGGATCAGCGGGAGCCGGAGCCAACACGGGCCGGCCGAAAATGGAGCCTACACGGACCGACCCGAAGACGGAGCCAGCACAGGCCGGTGGGAGACGGAGCCAACACGGACCGGCCCGGGGACAGAGCCAACAGGGTCGGCCGGCGGTGCGGTACTCACTTGTTTTTGGCGGCAGCTGCCCGGTCGCGCTGCCGCCGGTTCTTGAACCAGTTGCCGACCTGCGTAGCCGTGAGACCAGTGGCCTGCGCCAGCTCGCGCTTCTTGGTCGGGTTCGGGTAGGGGTCCTGCAGGTACCACTCACGCAGCAGGCTGCGCGTGCGCTCCTTGAAGCAGTGCGTCTTCTGCTCGCCGTCCCAGATGGTACGCGGCATAGGGAACTTCTTGCGCACTCGGTACTTGTCGACCGGGCCAAGCGCGCGGCCGCGCAGCTTCTCCGCCTCCTGGTAGTGGGCCTCCAGCCACATGGCCTGCAGCTTCTGGTGCGAGCCCTTGGAGAACTTGTTGCCCTCGAGGATCTGGTAGAGCTCGCGAAAGTTGCAGTTGTGGAAGGCGACCAGCGCCTTGGCCCGCAGGAACGGCTCGCACTTGTACAGCTGCGAGATGTTGGCGTGCGCCACCGGCAGCGACCAGAGGAAACGCTCGAGCCGGCCGATGTCCCCGCTCTCCTCCAGTGTCTCGCAGACGGCGGCCACCTGGCCGGCCGTGAAGCTGATGCTGGGCAGCGCCATCAGCGGCGTGGGCACGAGCGGCGCGCCGGGGCCGCCCTGCAGGGCCGCCATCGCACGACTGCGCGCCGCCTGCGAACAGAGCCGAGCGTCCGCCACCGCCGCCGCCGCTGCCGCCGCCGCCCGACCGCCCCGGTCCGCTCACTGGCTCCCGGCAGCGAGTAATGATCTCCCATTCACACCGGCAGATTAGCCAATAGCTAGGGGGCGGAGTCAGTGAGTCGCCAACAACACCACCTATCATCCTCGGCCGTGAGCTGCGCGCTGATTGGTTGGCGCTCGCCGTCGCCATGGCAACGTCGTCAATCAATGTCAGAGTTACCAATAGAAATACAGGAGGACAAAAGTTTTTGGCTATGGGTAGGTTACAGTGTGATTTCAGCCCGATTTACCGTAATGGCTGAACGGAGACAGACTGGACGCTGAAACCAGCGGTAAAGGTCTCTGAACAGCTATACAGACCACGTAAACACCGCGTGTGCGACAGCTTTGTGGTGGGCTGAAACCACTGAAAACACGAGGGTGTGGAAGATTGCACAGCGCGATTATTAAAACATGCCAGTTGTGTTGTGTCATGTACGCTTTTTAAATCTGCAATAGATCGAAATCTTATCCATGCGTACTTTTCAACTCGAATGTAGCGATTTTTAAACCTTCCTACTATTTTGCTGAGGGTAGCCACGGCTCAAGAGATCAGTTGACGTAAATAATTTCAAAATCAATTCCTTTCAGTCAGCTAGGTTAATGTGAACCTTCCAAGGAATAAAGAAGGCATCACATTGTTTGCCTGTTACTAAGACATGATTTGGTGGGCACTAATTTGCTTTTTAATCCATTTACTGGCAATGGTTAACAACAGCACATGCCGCCGAATGCCTGTAATTAGTTGGTATAAAAATATTTCCGCTTAACAGTCCTTATTTTCAGAAGCCTTTAAAACACTGTCACGTATTCTGCATGCAGACACGGTAGCAAACATAATGGCACCGATGTTTTTGGTGAACTATTTCTAACGTCACACTCGGTGCGCGCCATTGAGACATTCGGCTCCAGCCATTCTAACGATGGAGCAAACCGAGTCTAGATGTTAGAGTTGTCGTTACAACTGTTTTCTTGGCTTATTCGAATCAGATAGACGCTTTTGTGTAGAACAAGCATGATATACTGTCTTTCAAATTCAGGTTTTAATGCCACATACCAATCAGGATTATTTAAGGGAAATGTTGGAATGCTTCAGGAAGGACGGTATTGTGAACAACACTGAGAGGTCTTGAAGATGACTGTTTCAGTTTAAAAACCCATAGAAATGTGGAACACTCCCTTTAAACTATCGAATAATTGGAACGATATTTGCTATATAACATACTGGATCCCGGATTACGATGTTATTTCTTTTGTTAGATGCTTATCCTACAATTTGTTTTGTTTATACCTAATTTATACCTTATGTCATTGTAATTGCAGTTCGTACTTAATGTTTCTTATGCAAACGTTGTCATATGTTCAGGCTGTCTGCAAGTGGTTGCTTAATTTGTTTTCTCACATAATAACACCTGGATCGGAACCAGATAAAAGTTACCGCATGTTTTCCACGGAAGTGACAAGGGCACTTGTCACAAGTGTTGGCTGTGGCAGTTACACAACACGACCGGCGACAGCGTTGGTCATCAGTGATCCTTTGCTAAGTTTTACGGATATGTTTTTCTGTAAATTTCATCGCACTCTAAGCCTTTCACAAAAGGCAGCTGACATTGACTTTAAAGGAAAGTTACTCCTCCGCAGCAAAACAATTTAGGGTTCACAAAACATAAAAGTGCTGTTTTTATTTTAACATCGAGGATGCATATTCAAGGAGCTGAAATCCGAGGAGAAATCAGGTTTTGGGACAGGTTAGGTCAACATTTTCAGCTGTGCCCCTGCAACCGATTTAAGAAAGTGATTTATAGGCGTATCCTTGTATTAAAAAAGACAAGGGGCACGTGGTTGGATTTTGGCCCATTACCGCGACCGCTGACAGCCCTCTGTTCAGGGCCGCCTGTCCTTCGTGCCCATTGACGCATATGTAGTCGTGATCCAGCATCCGCTGCACCAATGGTCCGAACAATCCCCTCTTTCTGCTTGTGATCGGTGTGCTTCACAATAGGGGGCTGCTGACAAAGCATTAAGCTGAACTGAAGGTCAGAATCTATCAACTGCTTGATTCGCAACCTTGACGCACGAGACATCTTGAGGCGTATATCAACAGACGTTTTAGGTCCGTACGTCCTGGCTTACTGCTACCTGTCTGGCTTCCTATTACTCTCACCCCTCGAACCGCCTCCGCCCAAAATGATTCATTTGTTCATGTTCCTTCATTTATGCATTTTACATTCCACATTACCGCACTTAGCAATGCAATGACAGCACATTTTGACACTATGCAGTATGCCCTCTCCATCTTTCCTTCTATCTGGACATGAATCTGTCGCTTTATGCTACCTCTATTTGTAGGAAAGTGGAACGTTTTGTATCAGGCTACTGAGAAATATGTAAATCACTATTAAAGCCAGTAACATATTTCACAATTTTTTGGAAAAATCCTTTGTTGAGCCATGAAGTTGTCCTCTGCAAAGCTATTTGTGTTATATACGCTTTCCAAAAAAGCTCCGTTTAATTGTTGTGAAAGAGCCACGTCATGAAGCACACGCTACTGCTTTTTTTTAAGGCACAACCGGCACTACTGCGTCACCGTGTCACCATTTAACGGGAATTTCGTCGGGCACGACAGATCTTTAGCGTGATGCCTTAAGCGGACTGAAAGATACAGAGCCTTTTTCGAGTTCTGTTTCACATACGACCCGAAATTTGGTTTAGGTTTCGACGCTGCCTTGCGGCGCTCAGTTATTAAAGACAATGACACAGGAAATGAAGAACGGTTTGGAGATTCGTGAGGAGTATTGAATTGTTTATGAACAACACTTTTCCGAGCCAAAGGTGCGTGAGTGGGTGCGGGAGTTTGGAGATGGCAGGGAGGGCGTGCATAAATTGTCACGCTCTGGGAGACTCACAGCGCAGACTGAACCCGCCCACGTGACCCTACCGTGATAATGGAAGATGGTCGAGTGACCAGGTGGCTCAGGACCTCGGCATGACCGGCGGAACAGTCGGTCGTATTATTCATGATCGTAAACATGGGAGTGAGACAAAACATGAGCGAACATCCCCTGCGGCTAGCGCCAAACACCGTAGAGTGAAGACAAGCTGCCGGTTCATCCCTGTCTACAGCAACGTTCCGCCTCATCAAGCCGCTGACTCGAACTGATATGCACCGGTATGGGAGTGCTGTACAGCTGACGATATCGAGGAAAGAATCCGCTGTGTTGATAAGAGCTCACTTGCAAATATTAGCCTACTTTTAAGTGCAAAGTCCTATTTTGGATGACACATTTCCACTTTTAAGTGAGTAGCTCATCCAAAAGTCACATTTTGATTACGTCATGGGGCGTTTTTATAACGTCATAGTCGCTGCCAGACTGACTGTGCCAGAATGGCTGATGTGGTGGATGGTGTGGCCCACTTTTAGAAGCGTGACTCCTGTCTTTATCTTTATCTTTATTCACCTAGCACGACATAACCCAAATGCTTCTATTACATAACACAAAACGCGGTTTGTGATCCAGATTTGCGTTCCACATATTTAGCTGATTGAAGCCCCAATCCTGCCCGTTGATGAGGCGACTCATGCTGACCACCTCCTAAACACCAATCAGTCGATGGTCATGTTTTTCTATGGACATTGTGGAGGCGTAATCTATGGTGCGTTTGCATGACGTCATACATTTCAGGGTGGCTCCAAAATAAGCGTCGCGAAATAATCTGCACAAATCCGCGTGCGTTTTGCACAGGAACAAGATAATTAATAACTTAAAAAGGTCCATGGCTGTGAAATGGCAGGAAATACAACTTGAGAACGGATATCTCTGCTCACAACTCAAGCGAAAATAGATGAGTCCCTTTGAAAAACAGCAGCTATGGTTCAATTGTTGGCATTCACCGGAAACACCAACCAGCCTTGCAATCAGAAGGGCGTTTACGTGGTCCTATGGAAATTGTTATGCTTGCAATATCGCCAAACTTTACTGGACGTCACTCCGAAGCCATGCCTCTAAACGGCCACTCGTGTGCCGTGCACTCAAGTCCTGACACAGCACACAAAAAACATCTCTAGCAAAAAGTAAACTTCAAGGACCTGCCTGAAACCAACCGAAACTGAAGTAGCTATTAGCAAGAGGGGTGAAATTCTCCCTCCCTGCCCGGGGGAGGGGGGGGAGTTAAGGGCTTTCTAGTCTTGCATTGCATAGCTATCTGCAACGTCAACGATAGTGTTTGAAGCTCATATTCGCTTGCTCGCCGACAAACTAGGCGCCCTACTGATCCATTAATGGAACATGATGGGGAGGATCGTGGTTTGGGTTCACTTCACAAAAGGAGTGGCTGGAGATTGGGTGAAATGTCGACATCAATTGCACGCCCTTGTTCCTAAACCTTGGCAACAACTGTCACCAATCTTACAAAAGCAAGCTGATGCATATGAGACCACGCACAGCGCTGTGTCGCGTAAACAGCAGCACTGGACGATGCCAGTGTAAATGGCAGTAAGCGTAGCATAAACACAACACTATGAGCGATGCGTAATGGAAACGATGCGTGCCGACGTCATGCGAGATAACTTATTGTTTCTACAGTGACTGGTGGAATTGAGAACTAAAGCAGAGTGGTTCAAAATAATAGGACCAATAGAATGTCATCTCCGAAGTGAAACTTCAGCCGCGGGCATGAGGGCGTCCCATGGGGTGGGGGGGGGGGGGGGGAGGGGAAGGCTGGCCAAGTCCCGTTTGAACTCGATTTTTTTTTCCACGCATCTCCTCCATTGGGCTGCTGTTTGATTTGGTTTTACCTGCGAGGACCATAGCCCTATGAACTAACCGTTTCCCACGTCTGCCAGGCTGTCGTGGCGATGGTCATGATTTTACAGGGCTTACCGAATGCATTCGTTGGGACGCTCGGGTGTGATC